CTTCACCCAGGGACTGGAGGAGCTGGACACACTTGGGAATTATTCCCAGCACCGAACTGGATGACTTGGGCTTCTGATGAGGTAAGACAATCTTTAAAAGGTAGCTAGGGAATGAAGTATTGGTGGGGCAGGGCAGGTATGCCAGGCCCTTGTTAGAGAGGAGTTTGACTCTCTTCTCCCTACGCACGCACGCACGCAGGCACGCACGCACGCACGCACGTACGCATGCACGTATGCACATTTTATATTTAATATAAGAAGTACTAGGAAGAAGTTGCAGATTGTCAAGGAGAATAAATATTCAGAACTCTGGTTTAGGAAGATTAATTTCTGGAATATCGGTGTATGAGAGGCAGAGGGGCAGTTTGTTGCAGTTGCTTTTTATATTCTTCAAATCCATCCTACGCATTCAGCTTTCCTGTCTCCCCTCACACCCACCATATGGCAGGGAGCCAAGGTTTTAGAAGGCAGTCGCCAGTCCTGAAGGGAAAGACATAAATTCGCTTTGAGTTCCTCTTGTAATGTCTTTATCCCGCGACAGGTGGCACCATTACAGCATTATTTACTGAGCCCGGTTCTTTCTCTAAACACAGTGCTTCCAAGCAGAAAAGCTGTTTTTCAGAGGGAATTCACCTTCTGAGGACAATGTAGAATGGGAGCGGGGAAATGACAGCTAGACTAAGATTGATGATCATTCCTTCTGCGTTTCAATATCCAATATAATTGGTACCCTGGGTGAAGTTCTGTTTCTAAGCAGTTAAATAAGAGAAGAGGTTTATGAAACGCTGCCTTTCAAAGCAAGAAGTTTTATGTCTCTCGAGAAGTAATAAACAAATATATTTGGGGGTTGGGGTGGCGATGTAGCTTAGTTCTAGGAGAACTTCCGTTTATAGATGGCAAGCAGAAACTCTCAGCTGCCACACCACTGAGAGCCTGTAAATCTGCATGCCGTGTCGAAGGCCAGCTTGAGTCACAGGGAAGCAATGGATCCTCTAAGAGCAGATTAAGCTGCGCCAGGCTGAAGTTATAGCTTATTTCTATGAAACAAGATGTGCTTTGTCTTTGAGATTAAGAGCTAATCTCAAAGAGAAGTACCTTGGGCCAGTCAGAGATGAGAGTTCTAGAACCTGAGACTTGTTATGAGTTGTATGTGGGGTTGTGTTCTCCAAACAGAAAAATTTTGCTTGAAGCCATGGAGATTGATAGGTAGTTGTTTCCTCTCAATCACCGGACGGTGATGACACACATCTTTAATCCCAGCACTCGGGAGGCAGAGGCAGGAGGAACTCTGAGTTTGAGGCCAACCTGGTCTACAGACAGAGTTCCAGGACAGCCAGGGATACACACATAAAAACCCTGTGGGGGGCCGGGCGGTGGTGGCGCACGCCTTTAATCCCAGCACTCGGGAGGCAGAGCCAGGTGGATCTCTGTGAGTTCGAGGCCAGCCTGGTCTACAGAGTGAGATTCAGGAAAGGCGCAAAGCTACACAGAGAAACCCTGTCTTGAAAAACAAAAACAAAAACAAAAACAAAAACCCTGTGGGGAGGAAGGAGTCTTTCTGAAGGGATGGTGGAGACTTTGAAAACTCAAAGCCCAAAAAGGTAGGACATCACAAAACCCACCCCTGAATGGTTATGTAAGCAGTGACACTGGTGTATAAGAGACTCTTTGCTGGAGCTGCCTATAAGTGGGGCAGGGAGCTCCAGGGATGCAGCTTTGGGGAGCAGGCACCCATGCTGGGGTGGGCTGTTTCATGGTGCAGCTGCCTTTGAGTTGCCCATGCTTCTGGAAGTAATGCCTCCCCCATACCCCGTATTAAAGAACCCAATAAACTCACTAGTTCACCAATCTAGACTTGGATGGAATCGTTCATTCGATTTGTCTTTGGTGAGCAGACAAGTGCTCTCACGTTCTCAGGAGATCTCAGACATTTCTTAGGTTCTCAGGCATCAGCAGCACTTGGACAGATTTCTAGTATTGTGGATTTGGAAGTGATGGCAGGATTGTACCACCTGATAGGTGTCCGTGTAATTAAAATTTATCAAGTCAATGGAGAATAATCAGGTGGAGATTGCCATTTCAATTCTGGGCAGGAAATACTCCAGAGACTCCGGGAGGCATGGATGCTGGACATCCTGGCCCCATACAGGTCTTTTCTTCATGGGTATTTTTTGAGTTGAAAAGTCTCGTTACACTTTACTCAATGGCTCTTACCATTTTAATGAGAGCCTGATTCTTACTCTTTAAGGATTAAGTAGAGACAATAGCCCTTTCTCTCTAGAGAGAATATATATTTGCAGGATTTTGTGTTTAATTTCCAATGGCTGTGACTTCCTGGAATTCAACAGAGGCCTTCCATAAACCCTGGGTGGGAAACTGACCAAAGCTCACCAACAGTCTGAAGAAGAAACCCCAGAGGCCAGTGGGAATCGGGAAAGCAGAAATGGGGGGTGGGAGGCAGGGCAGCCTTGCAGAATCTCTGAGATGCTGGCGTAGGTAAAAGAAGGCAGAAGAACTGCTTTCTGTAGGAAGACTTTCTCATCTATGTGGACTTGCAGGGAATAACTAGGGACCTGGGGGCACATGTGCACAGGGATAGAACTGACATCAGTGGCTAAGTGACCCGACCAGAACTTTCTATGGCACCTAAATGAGCTCTGCTGCCTTTGGGATTTAGGTCAAACGATGGAGGATCTGAGCTACAGGGAACAGAAAGGGAGCTCACCTGAGGGAGGAGCTGTCAGGGACACCCGCAAGCATAGGCCTCTTCCCCTCTAACAGCAGGTTCAGACAGCCATCTGCTCAGTGCGGTGAGTAGATGATCTTCCACTCCAGGCTGAGGAAGGTCATGAACCAAAACCTGAACTGTGATCTCTTCAAACTGAGAAGGTGGAAACTGACTAAGTGAGGTCAGTTCTTTTTTCAGGATTCTCTCTCGGACTCTTTGAAGATCCAAAGAAAAGAGCCATTAGAAAGACGGTTTCTATCTAGGGTTCTTTGAAATCCGACTATCTCTGGGTTAGGTCCTGGCTCTGTCGACTTCCAGTCTGTGACCTTGAAGTCTTAAATCTGTAGCTGAGCTGTTATGTAAAAATAATAACAGTTTCTACCTCATAGAGCTTCTGGGAGATAAAATTGGAGCTCAATAACTGATCGTCACCATGGTAAGCGATGCTGAATGTCGAAACTGTAGCAGAAACCTATGTCCCAGTTCTCAGCTCTAACTGCACTCCTGAGGTCCCCAGTACACATTACCAAAGGGCTGTATACCTCAAGGCTTTCCCTGGAATTTTCTGAATACAGGGCTAGTCCTCTAGCCTTTCTGGCTCATACCTACTTTTGCTTAAAATAAAACGGCCCAGGCTATCTTGAGAAGCCAACCATGCCCTTTTCCTTAATTCTGTCCTCAAGGGTAAGGGTTCTTTACATGGGAAAGGATGATATTAAAACAGAGTTTACTCAAGAGGCAGAAGCAGGTAAATCTCTGAGTCCAAAGCCAGCCTCTTCTACATAGTGAGTTCCAGGCCATCCAGGGCTGTGTAGTGAGACTCTGTCTCAAAAAGAAAAAGAGGCCGGGCGGTGGTGGCGCACGCCTTTAATCCCAGCACTCGGGAGGCAGAGCCAGGTGGATCTCTGTGAGTTCGAGGCCAGCCTGGGCTACCAAGTGAGTTCCAGGAAAAGGCGCAAAGCTACACAGAGAAACCCTGTCTCGAAAAAAAAAAAAAAAAAAAAAAAAAAAGAAAAGAAAAGAAAAAGAAAAAGAGGGTGGGAAGGAAGGAAAAGAAGAAAGGGAGCGAGAAGGAAAGGGGGCAGTACAAACTAGATCTGCAAAACAGGGGCTGGAGAAATGTCACTTGCTGCTCATCCAGAGGACTTGGGTGTTCTTCAGCACGCATGTCAAGTGGCTGACACCTGCCTGAACGCCAGTTCTTGAGAATCTGACACTCTCTTCTGGCCTCTGTGGACACCGTATGCACATGTGCACACACACAGGCACAAACACATACATGTAAATAATAAGTCCTCTTTTTTTAGGAGTCTTTAGGACCTTCCCTGTGTGGTTTTTGCTTTCCTGGAGGAGTCAGTCACCTCCCTACAACCCCAGGAGAACTATAAAGACATTAACATTTACACAAGATCTCTCTAGGTATCATGTATTTTTCTTGCCAACAAGTTTTTATTCCTATCATATGCATTCTGAAAACCAAGTCTCAGAGTCAATTCAGTGTTGGAATTTAAAGATTCAAACCCATATCTGTGCCTTTAGCCCTTTTTGGACCTCTCTGTAGAGAAGCAATTTTACATGCCACACACACACACACAGAGAAACACACACACACACACACACACACACACACACACACACACACACACACACACCACAGCCTCGTCTGCTCTTAAACCTTTGTTCTGGGGCAGCCTCAGGACATCATCACCCAAGGGAGCTGCCTAGAGATGATGTCAGTGTTGACTCTTGGGGGAACACCTTGCCGGCATCTTCCACTAGAGGCCCGAGGCAGTTATTGTGGTTTCCTTAGTGATGTGTCACTCCGCTCCAGAAACCCTGGGCAACCCCTCCAGAACAGCGACTGCCACTCCATCCCTAGAACAGGTGTCATGCCTGCTGTGCCAGGGCTCTCGTTCAGAAGTCACCCTGTGGCAGGGTTGGGGGGCGGGGGGAGGGGGAGGGGGCACGGGAATGCTTCACTGAAAAGAAGTCTCGGACAGGTGTGGGATGCTGGCTACCAAAAACCCACTGTAAGCTGGGTATTTCGGTGCAGATCTGCACACTTCCCAGTCCAGTTTGGATCAAGGTCCGGGGCAGAAGAGAAAGAGATCCGGCAATGCTTATCCCAACCAGAACAAGGTCAGTTAACTCTTTGGGACTGGAGGCCAGGAGAGAGGAGGGAAGGCATGATCCCCAAGTTTCCGACTAAGCCCTGAGCCACGCAGCAGACCCAGAAGCCCCACCCTCAAGCCCCCTTAGTACCAGTCAGCAAGAGGGGAGATGACGTCTTTTTATTAAGGTTGACACCAAGGAAAGCATTGCAAAGGATACGCAAAGGAGGGGGAAGGGCACACAAAGTCACCAGGGAGGAGGGAGGGAGGGAGGCGCATCAGTTAAGGAACCTCAGGACAGCCACATGCTCCATGCCCTGGTAGAGGAGTGGGGTAAAAGGGGAAAGAGGGGGGAAGAAGTGCCATGATAACCCGGGGCTCACAGAAGGGTCTGCAGCCCCATGAACCTAATACTAGAGCCACAAGCCCTGCCCCTGAGGGCTCACACACTACTACACAAGTGGACGCACAAAACACAAGACATTATGGAGGCAACACCAAAAAGCAGAGAGAGGGTCGTGACATACCGACAGAAAAAGGAAAACTGAAGTTTAAGCGGGTATAGCCAGAAAAGACAGGTTTGGGCTGCAGCCCCTCAACCTCCCCCCTGCAAGAGTTTCTCAAGCGTCCCCTAAATCTGGTCTGTTGCTGACCAGCCCCAAGTCTCTGCCTGTGAACAGGGCACTGTGTTCTCTAGGTCCAGGTGAGTGGAAAGCAATCCCAGATGAAGTCAGTGACGGGGCAGCTTCGGCTCTGCATGCAAAATCCCAGAGGCTGAGCTATTGTGTCTTCATGCACATTCATAGCTCCTCCCAGCCCAGGGGCCCTGGGAACCCCATGCACCCAGATTCCTAGGGCTGCAGTTCCCTCCTCAAGCTTCCTTTACCAATCAACAGCCGCAGAGATCTGTGAGGGGAGAGGCTTCTGCAGAGCACTGTATATCTTAGATTTCAGCAAAAGGGTAAATTTCCTGTTGCCAGAACAGAATATACCCCCAATTCCTTAATTTCTAGGTAAATAGAGATTATTTGCCAAAGTCCTAGATGAGTCCTTTTTCAGAGTAGAAAAAGCAGAATTTTATTTACATAATTCAATGGTCCTCCTGTTTCCTGGGAAGAGGGGAGAGGGCAAGGTAAAGGGATGGATGGGAGTCCCAGAGACACTTCCTCTCCGGGAACCTCACCTTTCTGCAGTTTTGCTATGATGCGTGGTTGGGTGGAATTCGCGATGCTTCCGAAGTCCTTCACCCTACAAATCCTTCTGTGAGAGAGTCTCTCTCTCTCCCTGACCTATAAGAACCGCGTTTGGAGTGAAGCACACTGTTCAGTTCCCTCGCGTTAAGCACTTGGAAACCCAAAGCCCAGGTAGTTGGTGCCCCCGTGGGATCCCCCTCACAGAGAGACCTCGCCCTCCAGCTGCAGCAGGGCAATGTCAGGCAGGTCGAGGGGCTCCACAAGTGGCCCATCCTCCCCAAGGAGACCAGCACAGGGGCTCTCGGAGCGCTCACAGTGACTGGTGGGTGTGGCGGGGCTGGGTATCCCTTTCTCCTCCTCTTCATCCTCGTCCTCCTCCCCTGGATCACGACCCAGCAAGCCGCTGTCCCCAGTCCCAGGCTCAGGTGTCTCCGGCTCATGGGGAACACTCGGGAAGCTCCCCTTGCCGCCAGCCACGCCCAAGCCTCCCTGGCGGGGCGCGGTGGTCATAATCTGGCACATGGAGACTATGGCCCGCTGGTTGGCGCACACGTCGTCCGACAGAACCTGGATGTGCGAGGCCTGCTCGTCCAGCGCCCCTCGCATGGCCCTCACGTCCTCAAACAGGGCCTGCAGCTGGGCCTTCAGGTGCTCCATCAGTTCCTTCATGCCGCCGTTATACTCCCCAGAGATCACGTCCCCCACGGCGGGCACCGTGGACACCTCCAGCGGCGCCGGCATATCGCCGCCGTCCTTGGTCATGATCTCCAGCAGACTGTCCTCCATTGAGTGGCAGAAGCGGGCGGTGGCAGCTCTGGGTCGCGTCCAGCCGGGCCTCCAGGGTGGGGGGAAGGGTGTGGAGGGGGAGAGGTCCCGGGAGGGACGGGGTGGAGCCCAGGGACACCTAGCTTCCCTAGATGGGCGGGGAGCCGACGTGAAGAGAGCAGCCCCAGGCAGAGGGCGCCGGCAGGATCACGGAAGGCCGAGAAGAGTCGACGGAACGAAGCCCCGTCTAGGGTCCTGGGGCCAGCGTCTTCGGGCTTGCCCAGGGGCAAAAGTGCCCTGCCAGCTCGCCTCCCGGGTGGTGCCTATGTCCCCGCCGCCCTCCCGGCAACCACCGGCAGAGTGCCCACAGGCTCTCCGGGTCACAGAGGCGCTCGCAGACGGGTCGGGGTCGAGACGAGGACCTGCAGCGCGTCGTTCTCGGGACTCCCCCCACGGCCATCCACCAGCAAGAGCCCGCGAGTGCGGCTGGAGCGGCAGGGGCGGGTCTCCCGGCCGCGCCGCGGATGCTCCCCCGTTTCCAAGGCGACGCACGGCACGTAAATGACGTGTGTCTCCATGGCAACGAGGAAGTGGAGAAGAAAGAGAACAGGGCTCCGAAGCTGCAGTGGAGCTGTGTTCTATGGGCTGACGGGCTGGGCGGGGACGCTGCAGTGGCCTCAGAGAAGCTGCAAAGACCGTGTGGCTGCAATGTTTAATAGGACAGCATGAGAGAGCAGTTTGCTGCACGCCCCCCACCCCCAAACCCGAGAGAGACCGTCTGCCTAGGAGGGCTTTTCACCAGCTCCCCCGCATTCCTTCCTTGGAGGATGGCGCGAGAGCTGGATCCTGTCCTTGTCCTCCAGCGGCCCGCGGGACTGGGTAGCGAGGCGATTGTTAATAATCCCAGGCGAGCTGGCCGCGCCGGGCCTGGCGGTGCAGAGGGAGGCGGAGGGTATGACCGTTTTCTGCCTCTCCCTTCTGCTGCATAAACCAGTTCCCTCGCTCCAGAAAGCTCAGGGTGAGATTCTGTCCCTTATGGGACCCAACTGTTTCTACCCAGGTTACTGTGAGTTTATGAGAATGGGGAAGCTTCGTACTTACATTTTGAGAATGAAAACTCCATAACAACAGATTTCCCTCCCCTGCACCATCCATCACGGAATCCCCGGCGCTTAAAATAGCGTCTGAGACGCAGAAGGCGAACGCTTAATGTCTGTAGGATGGATACTTAAATAAGAGCCACCAAGTTCCATTCCCTTCCCTAGGATTCTCCAACCCACACATAGTAGACTTCAAACGGCCTGAATACAATTTTGTCTTTGCCCTTAATGATTCAGAGACCTCAGCTGAATCGTTTTTTGTTTTCTTTTGTTGATGTGTTGGGATACTGGACTGCAATGTTTCTAAATCTGAGTTAACACTGTACCTCCACACAAATTGAGTGAATACATTGCCCCTAGTGCCCATGTTTAGATACCCACTAAATGTCTCTGTCCTTTGTGGAAACTCCTTCCCCTGCTTAAAGGGCAGGAGGAGGAGAAGGAAGAAAAATGGGTTATAATAGATCTAGAGATTACATAAATTGGGAGGGTAGTCATCTGGTAGGCTGCAGCAAACTAATAGAACTTCGGTAAATGAGAAAACCAACTGATCTCAACCCCCAAGATTACAAGAATCTAGGAGGGAGAAATACATTGTCACCTAAATATAGAAAAAAATTAAGTGTGAGTGAGTGTCACCGGACACTAGTAAAAGTAAGTGTGTTCTTGAGTTACCCTGGTTGTGCATTTTAGTGATGAAGACTATCTAGCCAAGGAAATTTTTGTGGCACCAAAGAACCCTTTGGTCTATGCCTCTCATGTTAAAATAAAACCGAAATATCCTGAACTATCCAGCGTCATGTCATCATGTTTAAATAAATAACCTTAGGCGTATATATTGGGCAGATATTAGGAATTTGATTCCCCAAAACAAATTTGTAAAATTCACACACACACACACACACACACACACACACCACAATACTGCGTTTTCTAAAATGATCAATCTTATTTGCTGCTCCTTCAACAAATCTGTGGCACTCTCACCTTCGTTATCCCTCTTGCTTCTGCCATTTGGACCATACCTGGTTAACAAACTTTAGATGAACCCTAAATTTCTGGCTCATAAAAGAGCAGAAACTGCCAGGTGGTGGTGTGTGGGCCCTGGCCCCCCACTGTGAGTGGCTGCCGCCTTGCTTCCTCCCTTGACCAGATGTCCTCCCCATTCAGATTCCCTGCCGGTTTCCTTCTCACCTAACAACAACCGATCAAAGAGGTTCTTTGTTCCTGTATCCTGCATTTGGTGTAAACAGCTTAGATGCAAGAATGTAGCGAACTTCTGCCCTCTGGGGATCCGCCATTGTGCTGTAAGCCTGTATTTAAGGTTTCCTTCCTCTTTCAATAAATGGCATTTGGCATTCAGCTGTGGCAAATGACTCTGTCCCTTGTCCCTTATTTTTTAATCCACAGCCCCTCGCTTGGACATGGTGAACAGGTAGCGGTTGCACGGGCATTACCGCAACAGTGGTGGCACTGGTGGCGCACGCCTTTAATCCCTCCTCTCAGGAGGCAGAGGCAGGAGGATCTCTCTGAGTTCAAGGCCAGCCTGGTCCACAGAGTGAGTTCCAGGACAGCCAGGGCTGTTACACAGAAAAATCCTGTCTCGAAAAGCTAAGAAAAAAAAAAAAAGCAGAAAGTTTTTCCTTGGTATCCCTATGGTTTTTTTTTGTTTGTTTGTTTTTTGGTTTTCTTTTTTTAACATAGAAGATGAAACCTAGGATCTGAGTTTGATCTCAGAAACCCACATGGTGGAAGATGAAAACCAATGTCCACAAGTTATGGTTTGTCCTCCACCATAACACATGTGTGCTTGCATGCAAATGTTTGTTGGTTTGGTTTTGAACTATAGGAAAGCTAGAAACGGGCAAAACACAGCTTTGCTTACCCAGAATGACTTCTGATCACATGATAGCAAAGGTTCTCAGAGCTTTACAGGATCCACCCAGCTGTTCATCCCTCCTGTGAGAGCCTTGCTATGGCAAGAAAAGACTGGCCTGCTCTGCGGGCTTACTGCCATGGTCCATTACTGCCCATCTCTTCGAGGACGTATCACATGAAGGATTCTATCTTGCCAGTTCTCCTCTAGCATGTCCCCTGCCTTCTACTACTTGTGAAGAGTGATCCTGCACCCAGTGTCCATGCTTCCCAGCTTGGCTGCTGAATAAGCTTACATCAAGCCCAGCCCCGCACAGTGGGAGCTGGCTTATGCCATCACACAGGGCCCTCTGCCGCTATTGTTGAGGGTACTGTGTATGTCAGGGCTTTCAGCATCAGAATATCATGTTGCTCTGACCATGCAGTACACAGAGAGCACAAGGGGCCTGGGCCAAGAGGGAGGGGGAAGTTGCTGGAAAAGCACCAAAGATCATGGGAAGCAGGTGCAGAGGCCCAGGGGTGTGGCTGATCCAGGACAGTTCCAGGTCAGACATTTAAGAGGGTAGGTGGGAACCTGGGGAGTGGGACTTGAAACTGTAGGAAGGAAATACTGGTTGTGTTTGAGTCAAAAACAGATCACTTCATGAATTCTGCATGAAAATTAAGTGATAGACAGAGACTAGATAGGTCTAGTTTCAGAAGATGAAGGGGGCCGTGTACGGGGAATGAACCATAGCCTTCATTAGCTGGTTGGGTTATAAGGCTGAACCATGGGGATGTCAGGCCTTGTGGATGAGTAACCCAGCCGTGTTACTAAACTATTTAGAGAACTACTCATAGAGGAAAGAGAAAAGCCTGAACAGCCTTCTGCCCCCCCCCCCCACCTTGGTCTTTGGGTATAATTACAGCTGCTATGTTCTGTCATCCGGCTACTCAGTAGCCTCACACTGGAGAGGTAGTCCCCGTTATGTGTCCCCAGTCCTACTCGTCACATTCTTACAAAAATTGCAGTGCTAAGTAGACCATGGCGTTTTCCTCTCCATGTTATAAAGCTCATCTGCTTTTGCACAATAAATCTGATAAGGATGCCTCTGGACTCAGGTCACTAAATCAAGGTCAACTGAAAGTTCAGTGGGTACACATTAGTCTAAAATCCCCAGACAACACTCCCCAAGTATGACTTATGAAGTTGTGTTGCCTAGGGCTCATCTTAGTATGACCCCTGTACCCCCTTTTTTTTTTTTCAACTTGACACAAATTAAGGCCACCTGGAAGGAGGGAACCTCAGCTGAGGAATGGCTGCCTGCAGTCTGGGCTATGAACACATCTCTGGGACACTTTCTTGGGTTGCTAATTGATTGTGGAAGGCCTAGCCCACTGTGGGTGGTGACACCCTTGCCACATGACTCCGGGTTGTATAAAAAAGGAGGCTGAATGTGAACATGGAAGCGAGCCAGTAAGCAGCATCCCTCCACAGTCCCTGCTTCAGTTCCTGCCGCCATGTTCCTGTCTTGAGTTTCTGCCTGGGCTTCCTGCAACAATGGGCTGTAACCTTTAAGCCAAATAAACCTTCTCCTCCCCGGATTGGGCTTTGATCAATATTTTATCACAGCCATAGGGAAGCAAACTAGGAAAGAACTTGTTACCAGGACTGGGATATTGCTGTGACAGACCTGACCACGCTTTTTGGAAAGGATTGTAGAAGCATTTAGAACTTTGGTCTGGAAAAGTTATTGAGTGCTTAATTCTTAGTGAACTGGTCTGTGGGAACTTGGAAGACACTGTCATGAGAATTGCAGATGGTGGAGGCCTGGTTTGTGAAGTTTCAGAGGGAAGCAAAGATTATTGGAGATGTTTGTATGGTATTTGGGGTTAGCAATCTGTGGAAGTGAGACCTTTGCTTTACTAGGGCAATCATACTGGTTGGCTGGGCCTGATGAATTGACTGTGGTTAATAGACCAGTATTACTGAGGGGAAATTTTCTGGGGCATATTTCCTCAGGATCATCACACGGAAGGATAATTTCTAGTTCATCAGGGGCAACTTTTCTTGACAAATTACTTCTCACAGTTTCAGTCCAATCAGGAAGGAATTATACCTGTGCCTGTGTAACATGGTATGTGTACCAAAAGCTTCCCTTCTCATTTGTCATAGTCTGAGGGCATCTTTGTGTTCTGATACACACCTTTTTTTTTTTTTTTCTTAAACAGGGCTCACTGTGTAGCTTAGGATAGCCTTGAACTTTTTATCTTCTTGCCTCAGACTCCTGGGTGATGGGATTGCAAATGTGTGCTACTGTTATGCTCAGATCTCAGGGATCCCCAAAAGACCACCATGGAGATTGAATACTGCATGTAAAAGCAAAGAGCCTTTATTCAAGCTCAGGCTTGGTCTCTCATCCGTCCAATGCAGTGGTGAGAGCAGAGAGCCCCGAACCCAGGCGGGGTGGGGATTTTATCATAGCAGAAGTTGGGGTGAGGGGATTTCCATGGTTCAGAACCCTAATTGGCTGACAGTTGTCTAGGG